AGTGAAGCTACTCATGGCCTCAAACTGCCGAACGATGTGCTAGAGCTCAAAACGACCGGTCGGGTCGTCAAAAAATGCAAACAAATAATTACCAAAAAGTCCTACAAATTCTACGAAAATTAAAACAATTAAGAAAAAATCTATTTGTGAATTTTGTAGGAGTATTTTAGTTGGGCAAAAATCACGTGTTCACACTACGTATACACTACCCTCCCCAGACCCCACGTGTGGAATTTCACTAGGTATATTATTGTTATTGTTGTTGTAATTACTTTAATAAGTAACCTAATCGCCGAGTTAATTTTTTTTAATATCACGTTTCCTATTAGACATATAGGCTGTTTGGCCAAGCTTCTCCAAGACGAAAATACTTTTTTTTGATTGTTTCTTTTTTCAAAGTTGAAGTGTTTGGCCAAGCTTTTGGAAGAAAAAAAATGTGCTTTTGAGTAGAAGCAGAAGCAGCTTTGAAAAAGCAGAAAAAAATAGTTTCTTCCCCGAAGCATTTTTTTGAGAAGCATTTTTGAGAAATATACACTTATAAATACTTTTTAAAGTTTGGCCAAACACTAATTGCTGCTCAGAATTGCTTGTTGTCACGACCCAAAATCCCACCACAGGCATCGTGATGGCACTTAGTCTCTAAGACTAGGTAAGCCGATCTTGAGCATCAAGCTTGGATAATAGAACCGAGATACTTAAAACTCGCTCTCTGAGGGATAACTTGAGCATCAAGCTTAACCTCTATGTCTGCATCATGGGTCCCGTCACTAAATTTGCACTCCAAGTATTCTGTCTTGGTTCTACTCAGTTTGAAACCTTTAGACTCCAAGGTCTGTCTCCAAACCTCCAACCTCGCGTTAACTCTGCTACGTGTCTCGTCAATCAACACTATATCATCGGCAAATAGCATGCACCAAGGCACCTCCCCTAGGATGTGTCGCGACAGTACATCCATCGCCAAGGCAAATAAAAATGAGCTAAGAGCCGATTCCTGGTGCAACCCTATCACCACAGGGAAATGCTCCGAGTCACCACCCACAGTCCTCACCCGGGTCTTAGCATCATCATACATATCCTTAATCACCCTAATGTACGCTACCGGAATGCCGCTAAACTCCAAACACCTCCACAGGACCTCCCTCGGGACTTTATCGTATGCTTTCTCAAGGTCAATAAACACCATATGCAAATCCTTCTTCCTCTCCCTGTACTGCTCCACTAATCTCCTTACTAGATGAATCACTTTCGTAGTCAAATGCCCCGGCATGAATCCAACCTGATTCTCGAAAATAGACACGCACCTCCTCACCCTGGCCTCCACCACCCTCTCCCAAACCTTCATAGCGTGACTCAACGACTTGATACCCCTATAATTGTTGCAATTTTGGATATCACCCATGTTCTTGTAAAGCGGAATCATCGTACTCCACCTCAATTCTTCGGGCATCTTCTTTGTCTTAAAAATAATGTTAAACAACCCAGTGAGCCACTCCAAACCTGCCCGCCTCGCGCTCTTTCAGAATTCCACCGGAATTTCGTCTGGCCCCGTCACTTTGCCCCTACACATCTTACGCATCGCCCCTTCTACCTCCTCTACCGTAATCTGCCTACAGTACCCAAAATCCTGCCGACTCTCGGAGTGCTCTAACTCACCCAGCATAATGCGCCTATCCCCTCCTCGTTCCACAGTTTATAGAAGTATGTCTACCATTTTATCCTAATAAGTGCCGCGTCCATCAACAATTTGCCATCCTCATCCTTGATGCACTTGACTTGGTCTAAGTCGCGGGCTTTCCTCTCCCCCACCTTGGCCAACCGGTAAAACTTCTTGTCCCCGCCTTTTCCCTCGAGCTCCTCGTACAAACGAGCAAACGCCGCGTTTTTAGCTGTCGTAACTGCTAACTTCGTCTCTTTCTTTGCCTTTCTGTAACACTCCCGATAAGTCCTTTTTTCCTCCTCGTTTGTACTCTCCACTAGCTTCAAATAAGTATCTACAGAAATACTTTGAAATTCGATTTTCTTATGTGAACATCATGTATTTATGCCAGATACAACCTGTAATAGTAACCTACTGCCTGCATATTTCATAATAAACCTAGTGCTTGTATTCTGTTGTATCTAATAGTTGTGTTCAATGTATTCAAGTTTATTTTTGTATTCACTATAATTTATTTATTCCTAATACATGGTATTACTGCTTTATTGAGTATATTTTATTGGTTGTATTCATTGATTTTTTATTTGTATTGAGAATATTTTACTGTATTTCATTGTATTGTTGTTTTAAATACAGATGGATACAATTAGGTTGAAAATACATATGAATAGAGTTAGATTGAATGCATAACTAATTGATGAATAACATCAAAATGATAGAACTAACAATGTATTTAAAATGTTGTTGTACGAACTCAAATACATATAAATATATCTAAACACAACAGTCAAAAATCACTGTACAAAATAAAAATCAGTGTATGCCTTATCGAATACATATAAATACAAGAAGAGAATACCACTGTATAAACTAAAAGTCGATGTATGCGAACCCGAATACATATAAATACATCTACATTTAGGGTCATTATGTATTTTTGTTCTCCTTTCAGTTTCAATGGTTGCTGATGAACCTGCAAATACATTTCCATTGTTATATGTGAACGGTTTTGACTCATTTCCCCAAACCTAATCCTAATCTCATTAGTCGCTGCCACCTTCTCCTATGTCCTTTTCCCTTCCATGTCAACATTCAAAATCAATTCAATTATGAAAAGATCATGTCCGCTTCTCTTTGGGAAAAGATATAACTCATATCAGAAACTTGATTAAGATATTTTGAAACTCATGTTAACAGAGATGAAATCCAGCAAATCTACTATTGGGTTCGAGAACAATCTAGAGAGAGAACTTGCAAATAAAGGAGAATCGTGGTTCAACAATGGCGCTGTGAGAGAGAGATCATGGAGAGAGAAATAAGATACTATGCGGTGATTTTGGGAGAGAATAAACTGAAGGAATGAGAGAGAAAAATATTAGACAATGTATTTAATGGCTTAAAGGTAAGAAGTGACCATAAATATATATTTTGTTATAAAAACTAAAAGGTAACTATAGAAAATTATATTTTAAAAAAGTTTTTATTTATAATAAATAGGGTGTAATGCTTAAAATTTCCTCAAAAATTCTCCCATAGGTCTCTTCTTGAAATAGCGCCCCAATAGGTCGCTTCTTCCAATGGCGACTAAACGAAGACACAAGCTCAAGCCCAAGCCCATTAGAAAACCCTAACCACGAATCCTATAAATATGCAGCTCTACTTTCAAAACCCTTCAATTCTCATCAGCAGGTCTGGTTTACTCTTCGTCTTTTGACGTTAATTATTTTCAATTTTCATTTCAATCTTATAGCATCAACTATGATTTTCTCTGTTTCATAATAACAATAACAGAGGAAATACGTAAAGATGCTAAATTAATTTTTTTTTTTTTGGCACTTATGGACACGCTGATTTCAATATTTTTTCAATGATTTTCTGCGTTTTCTCGTAGGTTCTACATTATCAAAAAAAAAAAAAAAATTATTACATTATTTTGATAAATTTGAGGTGGGTATGTTGCTCAGTGATGATTTATTTTGCTTTAACCACACTGAAAAAAGAAGTCTGGTGAGATTTGGTGAAAGACCCAATTTGGATTTTTAGCTGAAGGGTGTTTACTTAATTACTTTTTTGCTTAATAAAAAGCTTTATGAATCTTAGATCCATTTTTTGGTGTAAAGATGAGAGCTTTTTGTTGAGCAAATTGAAATTAAGTGGGATTTATTTTTCCTTCGGCTTAAAATCCTTGTTGGATCTGAACCATTATTCTCATTAGCTTCTCATGTGGATAAACTTTGGCCCATGTCTGAGAGCAAATAACCACCCTACTTCGAGATTAATTTTGTAAATTGATAATAAATTTTGGAATTAACAGAAAAATGATAGGATTTTGTTTTAATTTTGGAATTAGGATTGTAATTATCAGGAAATGTGAGGCTTGATTGATCCCCTTGCTTATGCTCAAAATATCATAGATTTGGACAAAACAACATCGATGTCCATGTTGCACTAGATATAATGGTGGATGATTAAACAAAATTTAAAATTTTAATGAATTTTATTTCACATTGTTTTATTAATAAGATGAAATAAAAAATTAAGAAAATTGGTTGTATAAATTGAGGAAACTTTGTTAAAATTAAAATATTAGTAGCGTGTTAGTGTTGTGACACTGTATTATAATTATTGATTACAAGGGTTCATTATAAAATATGTTAAGAGGTCTTATAACACTTATTGTTTGGAAAAAATAATTATTTAGTTGGATCTCTTACTATTAATTCTAGGTAGGGCTGTGCGTGGATCGGGTCAGGATTTAACACATCTCAAATTCTAGAAAATGCAATTTGAATCCGATCAGAATTATATCGGATCGGATTTTAAATTTCGGATTGGATTGGATTTCGGATCATATTATTATGCTTCAGAGTTGCAAACTAATATGTATATTTTTTTTTGTTAAAGAGTCAATACATTAAAATTCATGTTTATGCAAATATGAGAATATTATGGTGTCAAAAATATAGCTAAATCTGAACTTGGAGGAAGATGTAAAGAAGTAGGCACTATTCGAAATTAAAGTGTATTATTTATCCACTCCCTAATAATTTTGAATTTTGGATCGGATTGGATTAAAATATATCAATTCTAATCCGAACCAAAATCTGAAAGTTTAATAAACACAATTTGATGTCCGATCCAATCCGAAATTGAATGGATCGGTTTTGATTTTCGGTGTCCGATCCGAATGAACAACTCAAATTCTAGGTAGTTGTTATTATACGCATTTAGTAGTAATTCGATACCAATGATAATAGTCTTAACTTAAAAATGCATTGATTGTGTAAAAAGGATTTTGACACTCAATTTTCACACTTCATTTCACCCTTATAAAAACGATCTTATCTTTAAATTATTTAGGTATGTGCCAGAATCTCCCCAAATCTTTGATTTGACCTTGTATTCTTCAATATGAAATAGAATGAATAACACAATTACTAGTACATTTTCTCATTACAAATAGAATAATCAATACATTTGACTCAACATAAAGTGTAATTCTTTAGTATAGGATCTCAACTATGTTTTCAAAAACATAAGGTGATGGTGCAGGGCTAGATGCCTCAATGAAATAATGTGGTGAAAATTCTATCTGCAAGCACTGCATTTGCTGCATCAGTTGGGTGAAATGCATCCCAAAATACATATTCTGTTCGATTCTTGCACAGTTTTGAGTTTGGTAAACATAGCCCTCCAACACTTGTGTCCACGTTGCAACATGATGTATTCGAAATCTTGAAACCTAAAAAACAAAATAATTGTAGCCAAAATTTTAGCTTTAAAACCCGAAAGAAAGAAAAAGTTCATAAAAAAAGAAACAATCAAGAAGTACTATTGGACTCTCGTAAAATCATTTTAAGATCTTTGAATTGGAAACAATCTTTTATCTTCCTAAGATAGGGGTAAAGTCTGCTCATTTTAAGATCTTCGAGCTAGAAACAATCTCTCTACCTTCCTAAGGTAGGGTTAAAGTCTGTGTATACATTATCTTCCCTAAATCTCACTTGTAGCGTTATATTGAGTTTGTTGTTGTAGTTCATCGTTATAGATATACCGATTTTCTTAACAATTGGAATCTATTGTTTATTCCTTATCTCGAGATCAAATTAGTTATTGGACAATGAAAATAGTAACAAGTGTCCTTGATGTTATTGTTGCAATAGGATCAGATTTGGTTAAAGTTACACTAGACGGGTACCTGTGCATGTACATCTTGAAGGTATAAATGTATTGTGTATTGATTGTCATGTAAATATAAGTTGTCTAAGCGAATGTTCCTGGATTTCAGCTTGCTGTTATGTTAGTTTATTGGTTTCCACCTGGAGTCGAGTATCCGCATTTGGGCTCGACTAAATTTGGATTCGTGGCGGAAGTCCCATATTAGGGGGTAAAGCGCTCTCTAATAAAAGCGACTCTTTACCTAGGGCTCGACCCCGAGACCTTGTTGAGGATGAAGGAGTATTTACCATTCCACCACAATCAAAGACCTTTATTATGTTAGTTGTTGCGCGCCTTGACTCTTCTCACTATGGAAAGATTTTTCAGTATTTTACAAGCAAAAGAATATATTTGTATTATGGGAATATTGAGCTTACCATAAGCAGAAGGGTTCTCAATCAAGTCTAGAACTATTGGATAAGTGTCTGCAAATGTTATCTGAGCATATGGGAGGTGCTTATTCAGAGAAGCAATTAGTTTTCCTACTTTTGAGTTGAATTCTTGCACCCATAAATTGACTTGTTTCAAGCATATTCCCCTTGTGGATTTCACCCTTTGTGAAGGAATGCAACCTAGTGGTCCAAGTCCATGAAACACCATCTTTCTTGCTCCAAGTTGATGAAGTCTCTAAAATTCAAAAAAGATGGAAATAACACAAGTGATTACAACAACAACAACAACAATTCACTGAAATCTCACAAATGGGGTACGGGGAGGGTAGTGTGTACACAGGCCTTATCCCGCCTTATCCCTATCCTGAGAAGGTAAACAGGATGTTTCCTTAGCTTAAGAAAGATAAAAGAAACGGTAGAAACAAGTAAAAGGGTAATCCGTTGCACGAAGCATCCCGTGTTTATGCAGGGTCCGGGGAAGGGCCACACCTAAAGAGGGTATGATGTAGCCAGCCTACCCTGATGCAAGCATCAGTGGATGATTCCACGGCTCGAACCCATGACATATAGGTCACACAGAGACAACTTTACTGCTGTTCCAAGGCCCTGCTTCAAACAGTAGAAACAAGTAATATCAACTAATATGCCAGAAAGATAGTAACAAGTGATTGTTACTATGATAAAAAAATTGAGGAGTCGTTTGGTTTGAATTTAATCTTCGTATCATGAAATTTTTCGTTACTTAGACATCGTTTGGTTTTACGTATAAAATCTTGAATAACTGTATTGAACTCTGCATAACTTACTGTGAATTGTTCGCCTAAGGTTGAGATTAGAAGCTCTACAAACTCGTCGTGTGTATACTGTTGTCCAGCAGCTAAAAAGGGTTGCAGGAAGTTATTTACATAGTCATTGCTACCTGAAAGGATTGCAAGTTAGCATCAGAGAAATTGAAGTATTTTGGCAGATGAATAGCAAGAAATATAATAAGCAGCGTTATCAAAGGCGAAAAGCGCAAAAAAATTCTAAGGTTCGTTGGAGCTTTAAGCGCAAAGCGCAAATGAAGCGTGAGCTTTAATGATGAAAGGGACAAATCGAGAAAAATTAAAAATATGTATCTGTAGTCCAAGACTAATATCTATAAGCATGAATATCAAATATATGGATAAAGAAATTTTGCGATAAAGTAATTAAGCTCATTAGCAAGAAAAAGTATGTCTCTGAAGCGCCCGCTAAGCGAGACGAAGCTCTCAACATGTTTTGAGCCTCACTTCAAGACTTGAGCGTGCTTTAAGCGCGCCTTTTATAATGCTGGTAATAAGAAGTCTTTCTTGGCTTATTTGTTTGCAAGTTTTATTGCTTTCTGTATAAGTTATGCTGCTATATGCTGTTTATATAAAAAGGCAGCCCAGTGTACTAAGCTTCTGCTATACGCGGGGTCCGGGGAAGGGCCGGACCATAAGGATCTATTATAGAGAGCCTTAGCCTGCATTCTTGCTATATGCTGTCTAAATGTTGTTTATATATTATGCAAATATACCCATTCCAATAAAGTAGACAGCTTTATTGACATGTTTTTCAGCAGCCTCTTCACCAATTTTAGCCTTGATTGCTTCCTTTGTCTTCTCAAAGCTCTTTATTTGATCATCAAATGTCATTCTTTGAATCTGTTTTGTGTAAAAAGCAAAGTAAAGATGTGTTTGTTAGAGGAAGATAGAATTTGCTAGAAAAGAAATTAGAGAAATTAGAAGTAAAATGAGAGTGATTTATTACAAAGTAGAGTCCAGTGTCATTGAGAATTCCAGCCCCACCAGATGCATAATTCACTCCTTGTAATATTGCATCATCATTTGGTGCTAAAGAAAGATATGGTGGTGGTGGTTGAACCCCAAGTTTGGCAGCTGAAAGTTGAAGAGGAAAAAATGTTACTTCGAAAAAAAAAAAGGCAGCCCGGTGCACTAAGCTCCCGCTAAGCGTGGGATCTAGAGAAGAGCTGGACCACAAGTCATTTTGATCCAAGCAAACTTAGAACGGGTTAGATCGTAACCTGTCCACTGATTTGACCTTTTTTGATCTGCCCAAGTATGACTCAACCTATCCATTTTCTACCTCTATTCATATAAATAATAGCAGAAAATGAATAAGCAACAACAACAACAAATCCAGTGTAATTCCATACGTGGGATCTGGAGAGGGTAGCGTGTACGTAGACCTTACCCTTGCCTTATAAAGATAGAAAGGTTGTTTCCGATAGACCCTCGGCTCAAAAACAGTAAAAAAGAAAATGAATAAGCAACAACAACAACAACAAACCCAGTGTAATCCCATACGTGAGATACAGATAGGGTAGCGTGTACGTAGACCTTACACCTGCCTTATAAAGATAGAAAGGTTGTTTCCGATAGACCCTCGGCTCAAGAAACAGTGAAAAAGAAAATGAATAAGCAACAACAACAACAACAAGAAACCTAGTGTAATCCCATACGTGTGATCTGGGAAGGGTATAGTGTGTACGCAGACCTACCCCTATCTTATAAAGATAGAGAGGTTGTTTCCGATAGACTCTCGGCTCAAGAAACAGTGGGAAAAAAAATGAATAAACAACAACAACAACAAACCCAGTGTAATCCCATACATGGGATCTGAGAAGGGTATAGTGTGTACGAAGACCTTACCCCTATCTTATAAAGATAGAGATGTTGTTTCCGATCGACCATCGGCTCAAGAAACGGTGAAAGAGAAAATGAATAAGGTAGGACTTAAAATTATGAAGCAAAGTCTATAGAGATTACATATTATATCACCAATAGTTCTTCCATTGGTGAATCTACCAGTAGCTCTTCCACCTTCATAATCAATACCATAAAAAGGATAATTAGATTTGGCAAGAGATTGCAAATAATTATTGTTCCCAACTTCTGTCAATGAGTCACCAAACACATATGTCACTACTGGTTCTCCAGCTGAAGCCACAGATGCAACAATTGCCATAATCAAGAATCCAAGAATTTGAGTTAAAGCCACCATTTTTTGCTGCTCTTTTTTTGGTCTTGTCCTTGAAAAATGTTGCAATTTATGGCAATAATTTATAACATTTTTTTAGTCATGTCATGTCATGTCCTTTAAGTTTTATCATAGTAGGTGATGGGTGATATTTTTCTTGTTCTTAACTCAATGTGAAAATCTTGGAATTATGAGTATTAAGTTCAAGTATTGAAGTGTTTAATTTGTTGGTAGTTGGGAATTTCTTCTTAATGGTTGAAAATTTTCTTGCATTTGGCCAACTGAATTGGGTAACACAGTGCATATGCTTTTGCTTTAGGCAGGAAGAAGAAAGCATTATATTGTTGCTATGGCTTATGGGTAATAGAAAAAGGTCTCAACTTGTTAGGACTAAGGATCGTTTGGCAGGATGTATTAGGGAAAATAATACATGTATTAGCTTTGATATTATGTTTAATCCCTTGTCTGATAATATTTTTCAACTTATGTATAACTAATATAGTTATTAGTTAATATTAGTTATATATCTCATTTAGTACTGTATTCTTATACATAGCAATACCATGATTTTTAATACATGGATAAGCATGTATAAAGACAGAACTGCCCTTCAAAATTTATCACCAACCCAAACAGTCAATAAGAAATAATCACAACATAACTAATCTCAATATTAATACACCCTATTCAGTACTATTCTTATCACCCTACCAAACGACCCCTAACGGTGTCATCACTATATTCGAAAAACACTACATTTTCGTTATCTTAACTCAACATACTTAAACTTATAAATTTTCAAGGTCCTCTCCTTAAATTTGTGTTACAATCATCCTGATTTTATTTTAATTTATGGGGTATGCCAAAACTGAGATTTTTTTAATGAGAATCGAATTTTACAATTCAAGAAAGAATGTTCTAATATAACTTGCTTCATATTTTCATAAAATAGACATTCTTCTAGAATTCTGATTCAGTCAGATGAGGTAGAAGAGAAATGAGTCAATCTTAGAAAACAAATTCCTACACATATTTTTCAGGGGTTGCTTGGTGATCTATCTTCTTCTTCTTCTTTTTTTTTTCTTTTTTTTTTTTCACATTGAGGTGTAGATAAAATAAAATGAATTGACAATATATAACTAACATACCTTATCCTATTATCAATCATGTTTTTATCCTAAATCTTCTATTAAAATGAGAGTGGGCTTGTGAATATTAAGGAAAATAAATATACAAGAAAACATTGGGAGATTGATTCCTTTTTCATTGGCAAGCACGTAATTTTTTTATTTTTATAATAGGTACAGTAAGGGTAAAGTCTGATTACACGCTACCCTCCCCAGACCTCACGGTGTGGGATAATACTGGGTATGTTGTTGTTGTTGTTGTTGTATAATAGGTGCAGTGAGAATCGGTCCCAAGACTTCTATCTTGTATAACACCATATTGAAGTATGTGACAATCTCATCTAAAAGTTTATGTCGTTGGAAAATATATTTTTATTTTCTTAATTATATCTGTAATACAAATGTCCTTTTCTATTAATTACCTTGTCTAATTTATAGATTTCAGTTTATGACCAAAAGAAAGAAACTATTCTAGCATTTGAAGTTCCAGATGCTGGAATAATAACTTAGGACATCCAATTTGAAATATAGAAGAGAGTGTGGGGTGTTTTTTTATTCTTATTTCTTAATCCTTTTGTATTGGCTAGCTAAAGTGGACTTTACAATAATTTTCTTAATTTAATCTTGGAATTCAAACATTCAACAAGTCTATCAAATCCCCTTCTCTTCTGGGCCATAGGAAAAGAAGATGGTCAATACACTCTCAACTTGTTAAAAGTCAACTGAGAATAATCATGGAATTTGCAAGGAAATACATCACCAACTACAAAACATTGACTATGTAATTAATATTGCAATCTTATTTCTATCCAATTATATCTTGACTAACCTCAATTGCAAAAAAGTTTGGCTACACAAAATGAGTTTAAATTTTATGCACCGATAGTAGTGGCGAAGCCAGGAATTTCTCTAAGGGTGTTTAAACTTGAAAGAAGTAAAACAAATCTCTGTTAACGGGTGTTCAATATATGTTATATACCTCTAAAACCTAATATTTTACATATATACGCAATGTAATTTTTTGATAAAGGGTGATCAATTGACCACCCTTACCAGAGTGTAGCTTCTCGCCTGACTGATAGTGTAAAAGTATTTACACAATTAGCTGGTGGTTGCTGCATGTAATTCTATAGTACATGATAAATAACTTGTTATATTATGTTAAATTACAATAATAGTGTAAAAATTCTTTACGCGATCTCATTGTATATAACTTAAATGTTTAAATCCATTTTATATCTTGACTAGACATGTAACGATCCGATCAGTCGTTTTGAGCTCTAGCATGTCGTTCGGTGGTTTGAGGCCTCGAGTAGCTTCACTTCATGTTTTATGACTTGTACGTGTGGTCGGAATTTAATTTCGGCAAGTTCAGAGTGGTTTCGGAAGGAAAATTCTCAATTCGGAAGCTTTAAGTTGTAAGAGTTGACTAAGGTTTGACTTCTGAGTTATGACTTCGGAATCGGGATTTGAAGGTTCCAATAGGTTCGTATGATAATTTCGGACTTGGACGTATGTTCGGGTTGAGTATCGGGTGGTCCGAAAGCATTTCGGCGCTTATTATGGAAGGTTGGTATTTTTGAAAGTTTAAGAATTTTTTATGTTTGGTTTGAAGTGGACTTTGGTGTTATCGATGCCCGTTTGGGGTTCCAAGTCTTGGAATAGGTTCGTAACGTGATATTAGACTTGCACGCAAAATTTGGCATTATTCCGGGATATTTAGGTATAATTCGAACGCATTCGGCGAAGTTTGAATGTTTGAAATTTTAAAGGAAGGTTTCGATCGTCGATCAGTAGTTTTGATGCTGCTTGGCATGATTTGAGGCTTCATCTAGGTCCGTGTCATATTTTGGGACGCATTGGTATATTTGGTTGAGGTCCCGGGGGCCTCGAGTGGATTCCAAGTGATCAACAGATCGAATTTGGACTTGGAAGAAGTGCTGAGGCAGTTGAGATCTGGTGCAATTGCACCTGCATGGAAAGGGCCGAAGGTGCGGCATTGTGGTCGCAGAAACGACATTTAGACTGAGCTGGGATGGCCGCAGATGCGAAGAATGCTGCGCAGAAGCGAAATGCGAGCTGGGCAGTTGGAGTCACAGAAGCTGTTGGCCCAATATCAGTTGAAGTTTTGAAGAATGACAAACGAACTCAGTGAAGGACCAGGTTCATCTAAGGAGACACAGTTGTTATGGCCCATACACATGAGATGCACGTGAAGAAGATAAGTCCTTGAGATCAAGCAGCAATATATTGATGAATATCTTCTGAACTGATCGAAAAGATTGCATATAGGATAAGGAGTTGAAGTCTCCTTATGAAAAGAGAATTACATCCGGATCAAGAATATGGATTAGGAGTTAGAGTTGTTCTTGGACTCGAATTGTTAAAGGATCCACAATTCGAGTTCTTATTGAACTCTGATTACTAACTCTATAAATATAACGATTGTTCTCTTTTACAAGTGATTGCACATAAGCTGAAGTTAAACCAAATTGAGAGCAAAAGAGCTAGACGATTGTTGCAAGCAATTTGTGTGTGATACAAGTGTGCAAATCTGAAGCTACAAGAACTAAGTGTGAAGAACCAACTCCATTGTATCTTTCTTTATTTCTAGTTCAATTGTAGTAGGTGTTTTAACATTGTACCTTTCCAGCTTTCTTAGAAGCAATTGTATTAGGTGCATTGAGTATTCAAGTTAGAGTTAACTTGAAAGTGTCGCAACAGTTGAGGCTGTGTGCTACACTGGGATTAGAGCTAATCCTTAGGTTTACAAAGAGTTTTGTAAATGCTGTTTTTGGCTCATTGAAGTTTAGTGGAAGTTTGGGAAAATCCTACTGAGTAGTAGGTCGTGATTTTTTCACCTTTTGAGCCAGTTGTTTTCCACGTAAAAATCTCTGTGTTCTTTATTTCTGTATTTTAATTCCGCAAACAGTAGAAGTTAGAACACCTAGAAGAACCAGGTTCTTCTAGTGCGAAAATTAGGTACCACACAAATCACCCCCCCCCCCTCTTGTGTGGTATTGACATCTAAAACATCAATTGGTATCAGAGCGGGTTATCCTTGAAGAGGCTAACACCTTAGGAGAAGATCAAAAATGAGTGCACCACCTAGGAACTGGGAAGGGCAATCCACTGCCAGACCTCCACTTTTCAATGGTTTGTATTACTCTTGGTGGAAGAACAGAATGAGAGATCATATCATAGGGGAAGACTATGAAGTTTGGGATATAATTACTGATGGTCCCCTAGCTACCACTAAGAACAATGCAGAAGGAATTGATGTGCCAAAAACAAGGGCTGATTGTACTGCTGAGGATCTGAAGAAATGGGAGAAAAATGCTAAAGCCAAGAAGTGGCTAGTGTGTGGTCTAGGACCAGATGAGTACAGCAGGATTCAAAGTTGTACAACTGCTAAGGAATTATGGGACACTCTACAAGTGGCTCATGAAGGAACACCTCAAGTGAAAAGGTCAAGACGAACTCTTATGTATTCTCAATATGAGAATTTCACTATGAAGGAAGGAGAAACTATCCAAGAGATGTATACTAGATTCACTACTCTGACTAATGAGCTTAAATCTCTTGGAAGGACCATCCTTGAAGAAGACAAGGTTGAAAAGATTCTGACAAGAGTTTTGCCAGTCACTTGGGAAAGCAAGATCACTGCCATTCAGGAATCCAAGAATATTGCTACCCTTAGGCTGGATGAACTAATTGGGAACTTAACTGCCTATGAAATGAGGAGACAAACAATGAAGATGGATACCCCCAAAAAGGAGAGAAGTTTAGCTCTCAGAATCACTGAAGGTGCAGATTTGGAAGATGATGAAGTAGCCATGATCACTAGGGATTTCAGGAAGTATCTGATGAGAGGAAAGGGTGCTTCAAGAAGTACAACTTCAACAAAACAAGAGCTCCGGAGAAACAGATCAATGAAAGCTGCTACA